AAACATGAGACATGGAGGCAGTGATGGTCTGTGGCAATCCCTGCAGCCTGGAACAGCTGATTGGAGGTATTCCGGCAGTCCGATCCACCGGTCAATCAGTTGTGCTGAATCGGGCTGCAATAAGTGCTGAAGCTGACTTGGCTGGTCAGAGTTTGCAGCAGCCATCACATTCAGAAAGCACACACAGTAACTGATTCAGCAGGATTCAAAATAATAATATACAATACATTACCAAAAGCAGGTTTTCCAAGGAAGCAGTAAATACAAGCAAAACACAAGCAGTTTCACTTTCAGTTTTTGGGGAGGAAAATAAGAAAAAAACCCTTCCTCTGCCTACCAGAATCCATGGTATTCAGCTGACACATGGTAACAAGATTAGCCAATGAATAGGCATAGCAACTAAATCAGCCAATAAGGGCTATTTGGACTCTAAAATTTGCCATGTGAACAACAAGGAGATGGGAAGGAGCCTGGCTTAGCCAAAAACTGAAAGTGAAACTGCTTGTGTTTTGCTTGTATTTACTGCTTTCTTGGAAAACCTGCTCTTGGAAATGTATTGTATATTATTATTTTGAATCCTGCTGAATCAGTTACTGTGCTTTCTGAATGTGATCGCTGCTGCAAACTCTGAACAGCCAGCGCACCTTCAGCACTTATTGCAGCCTGATTCAGCACAGCTGATTGGCGGGGTGATTGGGCTGCCAGAATACCCCCAATCGCTGTCTCCATTCCTCACGTTTTTGTCCTCTGATGGGGGTGGGGGTGGCTACATTCAATGTATAAGATGCACCCAAATTTTCACCCTCTTTTGGGAGGAGGAAAGGTGCGTCTTATATTCTGAAAAATACGGTAGCTATAACTGCCTTACAACTCCCCCCCCCCCAGCTCTTGTTAATACAAATTCTGTTCAGAAATATGTAATATGTTAAAAGCACTCAAGAGGGCTCAAACAGATAGCTTACTTCCATACCTAAGGCCACATCAGTACGAAAGTCCATCAAGGCCAGCAGTCCTAAAGACAAATATTGTGTTGGCTTGCCCCAAATACCAGTTGCTTGTGGATTCTGCAGGGGAGAGGTATGCCTCTAATGCATTGGGAATACCCCAGAGGCATTTAGTCACTGTAAGAAACAAAATGCTTCAAGAAAGGGTTTGCCCTGATCCAGCACAACTGTATTTATTTTCTTAGAACAAGTAATATTTTCAGTAGATAGTTCTCGACTTAAAACCACAATTGATCCCCCAAATTTTGTATTACTCAGTCATATCTCCTACAAATATGCATTACAAATATCACCTCAACAAATTCGACTTTGCGCTTTTGTTAAGACTTCCACAGATCAATTTGATTTATATATGATTGTATTCAGAGATACAATTGTGCTAAAAATTCTTGAAGAAATTGACTTTTAGCTGCTCAAATTACTTGCAACCCAGCATGACTACTCAGTTCAAAAACATCTTCCTTGGAATTTGATTAAAATGGATTATTGTATCATTGTAGCTAATTAAACCATTTTTTTATTACCTCAAATCTGCAATACATTGATTGCAAAAAATTAATCTGTTCCAATTAAGTTTATTTTTTAATACTTCATTAAAGGTCATCCTGCAAGCTTTTTTTCCCAGAAGATCCGGTGAAGATTATCCAGGCAAAGGGCCAATATATGTATGATGAAAATGGAAAGCAGTACCTTGACTGCATCAATAATGTTGCTCATGGCAAGTGTGAAATTATGTTCTCTTTAGTAAACTCTAACCTGTGTAGTCAGGTAAATTTAAGTCCAGTCCTTTCTAAACTGTCAAAATATTTGTGTTTGATTCTTTCCTTTTCCATGATTTAACTTGTCCATATCATCATCCGCAGTGGCAGCTTTATGTGGCCTGTGTTTGCTCTCATAGACAGTATCTGCACCCATTCATTCACTTAATTCAAACCCTGCAGAATAAGAATAAATATGCTAACAATGATTCAGAATTATTTAGAAAAATAAAGGCTATAGTTGATATTTAAAAATTTGGGCGACCAAGACAACATAGGTCATTCTACTTTTCTATGGAAGTGCACCCCACCAAGTATATCCGGTAACTGAAGTGACATCATGAAATTCTGCCTTTGATTTCCCAAGATTAGGCTGGAAATAAAATAAGTGAGGAATTATATGTATAGAACTGCATGGTCCCTGAAATTACTAGTTTCCTATCTTTATTTTTTAGTGGGGCACTGTCATCCTGAAGTGGTCAAAGCAGCTCATCAGCAGAATCTACTGCTAAATACAAACTCTCGTTATCTGCATGACAATTTGGTGGATTATGCACAGAGACTTTCTAAAACATTGCCGGAGAAGTTGTGTGCCTTCTATTTTTTGAATTCTGGGTAGGATTTATTTATTTATTAATCAATAGATCATACAGGTATCTTTATATCTTCTTTGCAGAACAAGAAAACTGAAATTTGTTATCACCTCACGGACCTGTTTGTTAGGATAATCACATCTTTGCTTCTTTGGCATTTATAATACTTCAGTATTTGTTTCTTTAGTCAGAATGAACGAAAATATATTTTTCATTTTGTACAAAGAAGAAAAAAGCATTCATATTTTCCCTTATTTTCTATAATCAAAAGGCTTTTCATCGAACATTTCATTAGCAACTGTAAACACTACATATAAATAAATGTAAAATTCTCTTTTAAAATTATGTTTATTGTATCTGTATTTTTTTCTTTTAACCATTCAACTAAAGTTTATTAAAAATTACATACATCTAACACTGGTAATATTTCCATACCAGTATGCCCCCATTTGATACATATGAAACTACTAGGTTTATAGATGACTGAATATAAACAATGAGAAAACCTCAGAATTTTCCATTACAGATCAGAGGCTAATGATCTTGCTCTGAGACTAGCACGGCAATATACAAAGCATAAAGACGTTATTGTTATTGACCAGTAAGTATATACAATGTTTTAAATACCATTACATTACTATGTCCAATTCAGCTAGCAGTACCTACTCAACCTTAATTGAATTTAGAAAAACCAGAACGGGATCATTTCCAGAACTTGAACAAGAAAATGCTGCCAGGAATCTGAGGGATATGTTAGAGTAGGAAGCCTTTTAAAAAGTATGACAAAGAGGATATTAATCATTTCCACATTGTTCCCTAGAAAACTATAAACATACTTTTATAATTATCAGAAGTTTAGTTTGGCTCAATAAATTTTATTTTCTTTCAATAGTAATTGGAGACACAAACTCTAGTGGTTCTGAAGTGAATTTTTAAATGCCTAAAATATAACCTATATTTCATACTAAGAAGTATTTAAGTTATCAGTATTGTAAATTTATTAAAGCTAATTTTTTTCAACCTGCATCTTCCTATTCTCCCAAAAAGCCAAGATCAAACAAACTGAATTCCTAATCTAGGTACATCCATTTAGTTTCAAGGTGTATGTGATCGCAAAGCCCGTATTTTGAATTACAACTTGCATTTAAATGTACATACATAGAATTTTGAAAATGTATCTTTATGAGAACTGTTTGTTTTCTAGAACATCAGCTGAGATATATGAAAGTATTATAAATTAGAAAGCAGGTGCTTCAGTTTGGCAGTCTGGATGTGTACAATTTTCTGGTACTAATATTAAACCAAGGTAGAATTTATGTATTTCTGTGGATTATTGTGTTTTGTTTTAAGCGCTTATCATGGACATCTGACATCTTTGATTGATATAAGTCCATACAAATTCAGAAATCTAGATGGCCAAAAGGAATGGGTCCATGTGGTAGGCATAAGAGACTATATTAACACTTTTCTTGTTAATTTCCAATTCACCTAAAACCAAGAGGTCTAATCAACTATTAAACTTTTTTTGAATAGGCTCCTCTTCCAGATACATACAGAGGATTATATAGAGAAAATCATAAGGATCCAGCCACAGCATATGCAGATGAAGTGAAAAAACTTATTGACAAAGCACACCAAGAAAACAGAAAGGTAAAAATTGTCTTTGAAGTTTCTGTATTTATCATTTTGGATTTCTTTTTAACATGGATTTAGTCAGTTATAAGAATTTTTTTCTTCTGTCTTATTTGTTGCAAGTACAAGAAATTTTGAAAAAAAATGTGTATTCAGCTGCAGCTTCATTATAATTTTTTACGTTTTGCTCCAGACAACTGTGTAAGCAAAATTAATAGCAATAGCAATAGCAGTAGACTTATATACCGCTTCATAGGGCTTTCAGCCCTCTCTAAGCGGTTTACAGAGAGTCAGCATATTGCCCCCAACANATCTTTCCTTTTTTGTTCCAACCATCGATAAAATTTATCCCAGATCTTATAATATTCTGATTCGTCTTTCTTCTTCAATTCCCATGTCAATTTATCCATTTCAGCACAAATCAGAATTTTCCTAATTGCTTCCTCTTCTTGTGGAATTTCTGTTTTTCCAGTTTTAGGCAAAGACCATTCTTGCTGCCATAATAATATGTATTATTAAGTAATTCCCCCCTTGTTATGTTTAGCATTTATGATTCCCAAGAAATAGTTCTGGTTTGAATTCTATTTCCTCTTTGATTATCTCTTATCGGCCACCTTTGAATTTTCCGTCAATATTCTTTTGTTTTTTGGCATATGGTAGTACATGCCTGATTCATAATCACATTTCCAACAATTTGGCGCTAAATTTCTTAACATTTTGGCTATTCTCGCGGGTGGGAGATGCCACCTATAAAACATTTTACATAAGTTTTCTTTATTGGGTATTGCCAATGTTATTTTCCTATTCCTTTCCCATAGTTCTTGCCATTTTTCCAGATTTATATTATAGCTAAAGTTTATCACCCGTGCTACCATTGTTTCCTTAACCTGATCTTCTTCCATCTTATATTCCAATAAAAATGTGTAAATCTTCTTTATCAATTTATCATTTGTCCCCCAAAGGATATTATCTATTGCCATCAACTATTATTGTCCCACTCTTTCATATCTTTCGAGTAAGCTACACTAGGATTCTAATCTCAGGATCATGTTACAGGCCTAAGGCCTCTGCTGCTGTCAAGATTTAATAATCTGAATCTATCATTGGCACTGCATGTGTATAACAGAACTTTGCAGTCTTGGTCTCTCCCCTGAATATTTGGTCAATTAACCCTGGAAAAGGCCAAATCAATAGTAAGAGAGAGTATCAGGGGCATTGATTGTTAAAATGACATCACCAGTACTGCTGAATTCTATCGCCAAATGTTAAACATGAGCGGGGTATCTAGACAATCTAAACTATTATGTCTAGGTTGTTTCCACATCTCGCTTTGTTGCCCTCTCATTAACTCTACTGGCGGGAAGATTTCATAGGACTCCTTATTTACAGAGAGTTTGCTTTTGTACATCCAGGGCAACAGAACTTTTACTCATGTTCTCATATGGTGCCTAAGGTGTACTCTGATCACCCCAGTCACTTCAAATACAAGGGGAACATAGTCAATTTTATATTTATTATTTTTAAGGCATGCTAAACCCCCCCCCCCACTCTAACATCAAGCAGCCCAATATCATCACCTTATACAACTGCAAAACTTTTAATTAGATACATTGTTTTATTTTCCTATTATTTTTCTCTTCCCCAAAAACAAATTATTGTGGTATTTCTTTCATCTATTGTACTCATTTCATTGTAAAGGTTGGTGAAAGACTATAATAAAGATTATTTGATTTGATCTGATTTGATTACCCATAGGGGGAAAAAACATAAACCAGGACAAACAACAGCATCATGGAAGAAAACTAATTTAATCCAGAAAAGAAAATTGTTACCCACAGAAAACAATGGAGAACATTAGCATAGCTGGGATTGTCACTGTATCCACACTATATCCCTACTCACGAATTCATGATTTTAAATAAAATTCTTACACAGTATAAACTCTGCTTCTGTTCTACAAATTCAAACCAAAATCACAATACACTGCTCCCATTTTTTAGAGAGCAGTTTACCGGTGAAATAGACAGCCTCTAGTAACCTGGCACATATATAATGGGACTGTTCACACAATATGCTACAATACATTTTATTTAGATTTATTTGCTATTTATTACATGTACATTACACCATTTTATCCAGGGGTTCAAAATAATTGCATTTCAAAAGTCATCCAGAAGTGCTCTGGACAGCATATAAATCCTATAGCATGTCTCTTACTCAATGAAGCAGCAATGGTTTTCTGCGGAATTCTGGAAGACAAATGCAGATGGTTTAAGAGTTGCCTTAAAGACAGTGTTATATTGATATGATTCATTATAGCAGAAACATATTTTATCAAGCTTGCACATACAAACAAAAATCTGTGCTTTAATGAATTCCAGAGGAGTTATGTTAAAGCGTGCATAATTCTTGGACACTGTAATATTTTATCCTTTTAATTTTACTCATAATAATCTTGAGAGGTAGATAGACCGAAAGACTTTGATTGATTCAAAGTTCACTAGTAATCTTTTATTGTTTTAAGGATGGACTTCAGCCTTAATGTCCTGTAACCGCACCTCAATTATATGACACTGGTTTCTCCTATGTTGAATAAGGAGCAATTGGGTATACTTCTACAACATACTAAACTTTAAACTGTTTTATACAAAGGTAGGCAAGGCACAGTATTCGAAAATTCTTTCTTCCAAATCTAGAAAAAAAATGTCAAAATAGGGTCATGAAATTTCCTTTTGATTCTTCCAAAAATACAATATTTGGGTACAAGAACAGACCAGTTTTGTTAGGCAAATGGCTCTCATTTCTACCCTTGGAACGAACTCCTGCTCTGAAACTGCACCTCTCCCAAAATTCCAGAACCATGCCACAGTAACAAATTTCAACACCATAATTTTGGGCCAGTTGGTGAGACGGGATCAAATAGGACCAGTTTTAAATGTTGTCTCCCATTTTATTTTAAATTGTACATAAAACAAGACCCTAAAACAAGAGATAAATGGTTTTCATGTTTTCCAGTTTTCTAAGTCACTGACCCAGAAAATGCTTGATGTCTTGCTTTGCTCTTGACTTAAGTCAAAATTATATAAAGAAAATATATCAATAAATTTGCCCCCAAAAAAGCAAGTATAGTATCAACACAAGCAAATGTTAGGTAAGGCCACAAGTACCAGGATAGACTGCAGTATTATTGAGAAATCAATTTTTGATAGAAAAAAATCCCGAGCTGTGGTGCAAGAAAGATGAAATGTTCCTCTCTGCAAATTCATCTTCTGAATTGTGATAAGGCATCAGTTCGCTTATCTTTAGATACACACTGTTTTTATGTATATTTGTCAAGCATTCTTGTGGATACCTCTCAAAGAAAATAAATCACCAACATGCTGGGTTGTTTCCAAGTACCAAATATGGGAAAGAAATTCTACTTTAAAAAAAAAAAATCATCTTAGTGGTAACAATTATAATGAGCTACACTTGACTTTTTATCAATCCCGGGTATATCTCACACACCCGCATCTTATATTTCCTGCAGAAAAACTGGAAGAGTTTTACTGTGGGAGTTTTACAGCTCCAGATATACTTTGTTTAATCCCGTCCTACTTTCTTTAAAAAAAAAAAAATCTTCGTCAGCTTTTTGCCAGCCTGGAACATTTCGGCAACTGCCATTTTGCACAGCCAGCCCAGCAAAGAAACAGGCAGTGCAGCTCTGTACAGATCTACTCAAAAGTAAGTCGCCTCGTTCTGTAATATTTATTTCCAGGTAAGCGCACTGAGAATTGCAGCTTGAGTTAATGAAAAAGAACAATATTGTCTGTTCACAAAACGCCTGCCAAATTGCCGAGGCAGATTATTATTTAGTTCTAGTACCTGCAATATATATATAAAAAATACTCGATATCTCTTACAGCAGCCTTGCCCAAGTTGGCGCTAACGCATGGCCGTACAATTTATGTAAAATGCCTACTGGTCATGGGGTCTGACTATTATGGGATCTGCGCTCCAAGTCGTCGGTTAGGGAACGCAATCCTTATAACCATATAGGGCGGCCGCAAAGATTACGAGGGAATCACGTCAGACATTTGCCAGGGCTGGGCAAGCGTGTTTTCTCTTTTTATTTTCCGCTTTACTGGTGGGAAGAGGCACAACTCCGGAAAAGGTTACTTTGCTGCCTCTTGCAAAGATGTGGCGCCTTTAATGCAGCCCCTCAACGGCAATTTTAACAAGGGAAAACTCTCGCCCGCTTGACTGTTTCTCATCGATACGGCCTTGAAACCTCTATCCGCAAGAGTGGTCAATAGTTTAAAACGCCTCCCCCCCCCCTCGTCCCGCGTGGTTGTTTACTCCAAATATAAACGACCGAAGCGCTCTGCTCGCTTCCGGCCACATAAATGTAGACTAAGTGCCTCTTTTTAAAAAGAGAAAAACATGCTTTTCAAGGCAGTTCAACGCGCTCTCTTCACTTTGGAGGAAGTCGGAACAACTTTCAGCAGATTCAGTTTGGCTCAAGCTTTGAGAAAATGTTCACTCTATTTACAAACTCAGCCTAGGTAGATCGTTAAAACACGCATCTGGAGTCCTCCGCGGCGACCTCACCCACGCACGCACGCACCCCGCTCCGAATGTTGACCGGCGGAGAGAACGCGGGGCTTTGGCGTCGCTTTAAAGCGATTACCTAGAGCAGTGTTTCTCAACCTTGGC